AGCAGTATATATCTGTGAACTTACAATGCTAGAAACCGAGTTTGCCATTTTCGTTATTTTGTTGCCCCCCCCCCCAGTGGCACATCTGCGAACTTACAATGCTAGAAACCGAGTTTAGCCATTATCGTTACTTATGTTGCCCCCCCCCCCAGTGGCATATCTGCGAACTTACAATGCTAGAAACCGAGTTTCGATACTCGTGGTGGGCAGAACACGGATAGCCCATTTTGTTTAGCTTTGTAGTTGATTTGCAAACGAAACGTTATTATTTTATTAACTAGTGCAAAAGCGTGCAAAATCTACAAGAACATTTATTTTTTACAAAGATGGCACATTTTTACTATAGCTTCAGCGCCAGTCATTTTTGTTATGGCTTTTATTATTTTATAATGTTACCAAACATAGAAAAGGCCACCGTATCGCATGATAAACTAAATTTCTTATTCCATTTCAGCAACAACAGAGTCACATGGTGAAAGAAATTTATGGACTTATGACAGAGATGGGTACAACGGTAAGCATAATACATACAACATATATAATGAATCAATATCAGTAACAAACTTTCATAACTGTATAGTGGAAAGTGTGTGTGTGTGTGTTATATAACAAAGCCACATTGAGCTATCTGCTATGTCCACCGCGGAGAATCGAACCCCGGATTTTAGTGTTCCAAGTGCGTAGACCTACCATTGTCCAGTTGGGGGACTATAGTGGAAGGATAACTGAAACCAGCTTTTTTCTTCTTCTTTGAATAAAGATTAAAATTTAAAATAATAAATACTTCTAAACTGTATTTATGTATATATATCTATACCACTGGATTTTCTGTCTTGTCTTCGGATTTACAATGCTAAAACCAGGAGTTCTATTCTCCTCGGTGGACACAGCAGATAAACCAATGTGGGTTTGCTCTAACAAAACAAACATATTCTCTGTCTTTTAAGTTAATAAGTTCGAAGTACTGAAGCATAACACAAAAAAATATATCGAAAAATACAAATTGTGCTTACAAAATAAACAAACTCATCTATGAATTCAAGATCAGTGAAATCCAGCATAAATAGGAAGAACAATATTGAATCCATTTAGTTTGATGTCAATATTCTAGTTTTCTCGTATAGTGTGTTAACATTCTAGTTTTCTCGCGTTTTTATATACATATTACCAAGTTGAGACACAATTTATGAAAACCAATATTGAAATAACTGTGGTTAATTTGACCATTCTATGCAGGTCAAGGTATTGTCAAAATAAGCATATATATATATCTAAAGAGTTGAAATTCAAGAGTTTTATAAACACAGAAATATTATTGTAGAAAGTTTACAAATTCAAATTACAATTGAACTCGTTTTTGATTTTTGTACTACCAAGATAGAAAATAAGAAACAATGGTATTTGTAATAGTATTAGTATATAATAAATACTATCTACTTAATAAAACTGAATGAATGTAATTAATGTATATGTACAGGACATTTTGAAATATTGACTAAAGCCAACAGTGAACAAGTACTGCGAATGAAGGAAAGTCTGTAAATCAGTAGACTGAAGTTCAACAGTGCGATTTGTTTATTGTTGAATCTTTGAGTGCGGTTCGTTTATTGTTGAATCTTTGTTTACAGTTTGTTTATCGTTGAATCTTTCAGTGAAGTTTGTTTATCGCTGAATCTTTGAGTTCGGTTTGTTTATTGTTGAATGTTTGAGTGCAGTTTGTTGATTGTTGAATTTTTGAGTGCAGTTTGTTTATCGCTAAATCTTTGAGTGCAGTTTGTTTATCGCTGAATCTTTGAGTTTGGTTTGTTTATTGTTGAATCTTTGACTGATGTTTGCAATTATTGTTGAATCTTTGAGTGTGGTTCGTTTATTGTTGAATCTTTGACTGATGTTTGCAATTATTGATTCTTTGAGTGTGGTTTGTTTATTGTTGAATATTTGTGAGCGTTTTTTTATCATTGAATCTTTGAGTGTGGTTCGTTTATTGTTGAATCCTTGAGTGTTAGTGATGTTTTAACTATATTATATCAGGAATGTTTACACTTTATTATGGTAAACTAACGTTTTCCCAAAGTCTTGATATTTTGTGACTGTTGAACATTTTAGTATTTGGTAAACTGATAATTAGATAAATGTTCTTGGCTTTTATTTGACACCTTAATGCCCCCCCCCCCCAGTAAGTCATCGGTAAGTCTGAAGACTTATAACTCCTAAAAACCGGGTTTTGATACCCATGGTGGGCACAGTAAAGATAGCCCATTGTGTAGCTTTTCGTTTAACAACAAATAAACAGACACTTTAACATTTTGAAAAAGATTTTACACGTTGAAATGGATTTGATACTCAGTGTCACGATATAAAAGACTATTTAGTTTAGATATTATTGAGTAATTTATTTTTGGAAAGTGAATATTTTATTATTGTTTAGTTTTGTTATAATAAGAGTTAAAAGCAGACGATTGTAGGAAGTTTTGTTAATAATTCATTGATGTTGAAACTGTTGAATGTCACGTGCAATACACTGAGGTCGAGAACATAGAAGGTGGACAGACGATTAAGTAATAAAGATATTAAAAGCGTAAGAAGAGCGGAAACAGAAGCAGACAGATAATAGCAGAATAAAGTTACAAAAGGAAAGGTTCGGCGTGAAGTTAACTACCGCAGAAGTGATAGGCCTAACGTTTAATATGTTGGAGTAAGACTAACAACAGAAACGGAGATAACAAAAATAATTTATTCGCCCAAAGCGTGGTTCTAAAGTAATTGAATCGGCCTGAGTGCACTTTGACAAAAGGAATAGAGGATCTTCAGACGAAAGAAGATCAAACGATTACGGTAACTCGCGCCACAATTGTAAGTGAATCACACACAGAATACTAGTGTAATAG